TAAATGTCACGCAGTTTTCATTACAATTTTTCTTTGTAATTCACTTTTTCGGGTTTGACCAGTGGCGTAAATATTCCTCTTTTACGAATATTTTTAATGTGCGATATTTCTCTAATTTTAATGTTTCGACACGAATGCATAGACGTAAAACACACATTTCATTGCGAATTGCGAAAGAAAAGTAGTCACCTTTTATCTTTCTTTTAACGTTTGATTTTTCTCTTCTTCTAAAATTTAACAGAGGCTAGTTCTATAATACATTTTATCTGGTAACCAAAATGTCCAAAATGAAATGTACTTAAACTTATGGACTATGTAGGTTAATAACTTTTTCATAACAACTTTTTCATAACAATTTTTGAATAACTGTTATGTGTCACTATTCTATTAATCCGTTTAAATTTATTTTTAAAAAAAAATATTTGAAACAGACAAATCATAATCCATTACATAGACGTTGTCAAAATGTTGGCAAAAATAAGTCGTTCTTGCTAAAAATCAACTGAATTTAGTAGAAACATTCACGTTGAAACTGGGTTGAGTCAGTTCCAACCGAAATTCGACTAAGTCAATTTTGCCAAAAATCAATCAAATTCGATTGAATCGGCACTAACCAAAGTTTGGTCAAGTCAACCAAACTGAACTGCACCTTTAGAGACTATCAATTAATTTTACCAATAGAAATATATGTTGATAATTTAAATTCTATTGATAAAATTTCTTGATAGATTTTAATTTATCTATAAATTTATTTTCCTTCCCTCAATAATTTTATAAAATTCTTGTAGTGAATTGTTTAGTTCGTTTGTGAATAACAATAAATATGAACTTTCTTAACACATGTTTTCTTAGACAAAAGAGGCGGCACCAAAGCCTAGGAATGGAGAATATGGGCATCATTAAAAAAAAAACTTAAATCAACGGGAAACAAAAAAAAAATATACTTGAAGCACTTCATACTTGTTTGTCAATAATTATTGAAACAAGATTACTCAAATTGTTAATATTGTTTTGAACTCAGTAAAAGTAAATCCTTCGATCCTTACCAAAAGTTTAATTGCAAATATTAAAAGTTGTCATGGTTATCTTTGACATAAAGTAAAGGATAGATTGTTAAACAAAAAGCTTTTGAAAAGAGTTTGACAACTACAGGATTCTTAAAATGATCTTTTGAGACTATCGCAAATCGTAAAAGAAAGTGTTTTCGGTATCTTATCCATAGCATGTTACATCATGGTAAAAGATTTATTTATAATAATTAAAGCATAGAATATCATGCATAAAAAATGAGTTAACTACCCCTACCTTTTTTTCAAGAATTTTTCTAGGAATGGAAATGTAACACCTCTCGTGTGTGATTCAAAAAGTCATAACCTTAAATTTTGAGACCATCTTAAAAGCCTCATTTAAACATAAATATATACTTCTTTTATTTCAAAAGAAATTGTTTCAAAACCAATAAATTTCAAAGGAATTTCTTAACTAAAACATCAATCCAAATTACATTTGAAAATATAAATAAAGACATTTTCGAAGTCATTAGCCTACTCCTCATGGTTGTGCATCCTGACCTATATCTGCAATATATAATATGCTCACGTATAACATAAGTCATACGGTCATCACAGGTGGAAACCACAACCACATACAAACAAGGGTGAACTAACGTAAAACAACTTAGTAAATACAGTTCATAGGTAATCACTATTCATATATCACATAGCGAAATACATCATCGATAACATCAACACCCCATATTCATAATTAACATATAATCTTATTACATCAACTAATATATACAAACTGTATGTCCTTTCCGAGTACCTTACAGTTTAATATGTTTGCTTAACAAAAACTTACGATCAAGGTCATCCTGCCTATTCAACAAAGCCTTATGACTAGGACAAGTTTCCCCTGTTTTCTAAAAGCCTTACGAGTAAAAACTCTATCTACTCACCAAAGCCTTATAAACAGAGCATTATACTCAGTTCTAGCCAAAGCATTATGGCGATACACAACTCCCTTTTTTCCGTGGCTGACCAAAGTCCTATGGACGTAAAGGAACCAATTTAGATTTACAACTATGAGACAAGGACATAACATCCAAGCATGTTAACAACAAACCATTGAAACAACAACAAACACACAGCTTGACCAAGAGGGTAACAACTTGGTCAACAAGCTTAGAACTCGGAATTACCAACCACAACTCAACATCACAAAACACAACTCAACTAAACTCCATATAAGCTCAACCAACTACTCAAATAGCTCGAAAACCATGCCCAACAGCTCGACCATATAAGAAATACCCCTAGACTGTTATGTAAAACAACCAAAATCAAGCTCTAGTATCTCGAAACCCATTAATTATCTTTGATGCCAGGAAGCTATGATTAATACACTAGCTCTCCGAGCTCGAGTTGTGTTTTATTGTGACAACTATTCTATCATACAAATCGTCTCTATTCAAATTAAGCATAAACGAATGAAGCATATTAAAATGGACTGTCATATTTTAAAGAGAAATAGAAAATTATTAATGGCTTGATGAAACTTCTTCATGTCTTTTTACATGCAATTGGCTAATGTACTCACCAAAACTCTTCCACCTTCTATGTTCAATAACATGTGTTTCAAGTTGGACATGTTTAATCTTTACTCTGAGCTTAAGGGGTCTCATCCAAAAAAAAACAAAAATTGATATAATTATAATTTAATAGTTTTGAGTTTATATGTTTCTTATTTTTATGTGTACTTTTTTCTCATTCTCCTTGTACATTCATGATTAATTGATCAATAATAGCTGTTTTCAATTTTTTATTCTTCTTGTGTGTACTTCTGTTTTTCTTCTTTATCTTCTCTTTGATTTTGTTATGAATCTTAACTATAATATCCACCTCTAAAAGAACCATCATACATTGTATAGAAGTAAATTAAGAAAATTCAAAATAAACTCCTACTGGATGATAGAAGGAAATAGTTAAATAGCCTAAGTTAAATGAAAAAAATGTATACAAACAAAAGTAAGAGAGTGGTTTAAATAGTAAAGAATTAAAATTGTTTAATATGATAGTATTAGATAAATGGAGGTGGAGATCATATAAGAACTATAACATCTCGTTTTTTTCACACAAAAATATTACATAATCAATGTTTATGCCATTCGCGAATATAACACCTGCTATAGTTATTCAAATATAATTGTATATAATTGTATTAGGTATAATGATGTAAAGAATTACATATACTTATTTTAACTAAAACTTATGCATGACTAAATTTGTATTCATTATATTGTTGCATTTCCTTCATCTTGGATCGGATCTGTTATCACATCCTCCTCTGATCTTGTATGACACACATGTTATATGATCATTGCATAAACACAAATAAGCAAGGGTGTGTTAATATACAAAAGATCACTTATAAAGCAGGCATAAGACTATTACTACACATAATCCAGTTATAACAACAATCATATTCTCATGCAATATTTATACTAGACTCAACCATCTGGATGAAACATTGATGCAAAATCCCAAGGGGTCATGCACTTGTGGTGACATCCACTTCTCATATGGAGCCATCGTTAATGCAATACACCATGTCTTCCACAAGGTTAGCCCATCAACACCTACGACCAAATTCAGCCCATAGACTAGGACCTCCTACAACTTTAGCACTTAACTCATCATTCTCTACTTGAGATTGAATGGTTATTAGAGTATCAAGATAACCTCCAATGTCAAGACTCTCACATCAACATGTACACTAATTAGTTAAAAACACATAATCACTCCACAAGATCCCTAGAAAAACTCATACCATATTCATATCAACCAATTTATCATGCAATATAAAGTCATATAATACACATTTGGCCAAATTCGTGTTCATAATTTAACTCATAACAGTAATCAAGTCAATCATACAACTATACATACAAATTAGTAATATAATCACCCATGTTTTCAGAATAAATCGTCAATAAACAATCAAACTGGACACAATCTAGTCATGGTTGGTCAAAGCTCGGCCACAGCTCAACCACCACGGCTATAACTCGGCCATAGCTCGACCAAGGAATTAAAGAACTTGTCCAAGGTCTTCAACAATGTTGAATATAGTGAAAACTATGTATGAGATTAATCTCTCTTGTGTTGAATATACACATATAGGATCCTTTATTTATAATAGAAGAAATATGGGTTAAGCACAAAATACAAATAAGAAATAATAAAAAATTAACTAAAGATAAAAGATAAATATAAAATAAAGATAATATATCAAACACTCCCTCTCAAGCTAATGCATACAAATTGTATGTATCAAGCTTGTTACTAATATAATTAAAGACTTAGCGAAAATATATTGCTTATGCACTCAAGTGACACCAAATTGCTAATGATTTGTGAAGACGACATAGAAAACGAAATACATATTAGAAGAACGAAATACATATTAGAAGAACCAGACTTTCGATACTATGTTGAAATTCAACCAATCATAAACTACCGTCGATTATATGTTTCCATGTTTTTCGATTATATGTTTCCATGTTTTTGCACACTTGTGAATAAATAGCACTACTACCTAAGTTATTTTTCATTTCAGAAAAGGATGTCAAAAATGAAATATGACGAAAATACAACATGAATGCCATGTCTTACTTTACGTTAATCAATATAACTATGTTAAGAAAAGTTACCACAACTCAATTTTAAGTTAAATCTGACTAAATTAAAAGCTTAAAAATATTAAACACTCATTTGATATTTTATATTTAATATTTAATATTTTATCCTTTTTATTTCTTTTTCTTTGTCAAATAACTCTAAATGTCAAAATTATTTTCCTTCTAAAATAATAATCATTAGGAATGTTAATACAATATAAAAAAAATGCAAACGATTACATAAAGCTCAAACCCAAATCCCAAACATGATACTAGTAACTTAGTGAAGGAATGACTTGTTCGAAATGCAAGAAGATGGGTATTAATCTGAGGTTTCCCGCTCAACGATCTTGACAGGAAAACCACCTTCCATCTGGGAGGTAAGGAAGGAAATGAAGTTGGGCTCCACCCCTTCAGCCACCGTAGGAACAACCGCGAACCGCCGAAGAATCCCAGCCACCACACTTTGCATCTGCATAAAAGCCATATCTTTCCCCAAACATATTCTGGGACCAGCTTGAAAAACAGGATATGTGAAAGAATCTTTTGGCACAAACTTCCACTTTCCGGATTCAAGCTTCTCTAACCACCTCTCTGGCTTAAACTCTGCCCAATCCTCACCCCAAATACTCTCCAACCTCCCCATGGCGTACACGTGATAAGTCACCAGCGACCCCTTCTTCACCACCGTCCCATCCGGCAAAACGTCGTCCTCCACCGCTTCCTTGGTGTCCGTGGGCACCGGTGGGTACAGTCTCATGCTCTCGAACAATGATGCATGCGTGTAAACCATATGCTTCACTTCATCGTAAACCGCAGCCTCCGATTTGTCCAATATCTCATTCACAATCTCCTTCTCCACTCGAGGGTTCTTCGATAGCNTTAAGCATAAACGAATGAAGCATATTAAAATGGACTGTCATATTTTAAAGAGAAATAGAAAATTATTAATGGCTTGATGAAACTTCTTCATGTCTTTTTACATGCAATTGGCTAATGTACTCACCAAAACTCTTCCACCTTCTATGTTCAATAACATGTGTTTCAAGTTGGACATGTTTAATCTTTACTCTGAGCTTAAGGGGTCTCATCCAAAAAAAAACAAAAATTGATATAATTATAATTTAATAGTTTTGAGTTTATATGTTTCTTATTTTTATGTGTACTTTTTTCTCATTCTCCTTGTACATTCATGATTAATTGATCAATAATAGCTGTTTTCAATTTTTTATTCTTCTTGTGTGTACTTCTGTTTTTCTTCTTTATCTTCTCTTTGATTTTGTTATGAATCTTAACTATAATATCCACCTCTAAAAGAACCATCATACATTGTATAGAAGTAAATTAAGAAAATTCAAAATAAACTCCTACTGGATGATAGAAGGAAATAGTTAAATAGCCTAAGTTAAATGAAAAAAATGTATACAAACAAAAGTAAGAGAGTGGTTTAAATAGTAAAGAATTAAAATTGTTTAATATGATAGTATTAGATAAATGGAGGTGGAGATCATATAAGAACTATAACATCTCGTTTTTTTCACACAAAAATATTACATAATCAATGTTTATGCCATTCGCGAATATAACACCTGCTATAGTTATTCAAATATAATTGTATATAATTGTATTAGGTATAATGATGTAAAGAATTACATATACTTATTTTAACTAAAACTTATGCATGACTAAATTTGTATTCATTATATTGTTGCATTTCCTTCATCTTGGATCGGATCTGTTATCACATCCTCCTCTGATCTTGTATGACACACATGTTATATGATCATTGCATAAACACAAATAAGCAAGGGTGTGTTAATATACAAAAGATCACTTATAAAGCAGGCATAAGACTATTACTACACATAATCCAGTTATAACAACAATCATATTCTCATGCAATATTTATACTAGACTCAACCATCTGGATGAAACATTGATGCAAAATCCCAAGGGGTCATGCACTTGTGGTGACATCCACTTCTCATATGGAGCCATCGTTAATGCAATACACCATGTCTTCCACAAGGTTAGCCCATCAACACCTACGACCAAATTCAGCCCATAGACTAGGACCTCCTACAACTTTAGCACTTAACTCATCATTCTCTACTTGAGATTGAATGGTTATTAGAGTATCAAGATAACCTCCAATGTCAAGACTCTCACATCAACATGTACACTAATTAGTTAAAAACACATAATCACTCCACAAGATCCCTAGAAAAACTCATACCATATTCATATCAACCAATTTATCATGCAATATAAAGTCATATAATACACATTTGGCCAAATTCGTGTTCATAATTTAACTCATAACAGTAATCAAGTCAATCATACAACTATACATACAAATTAGTAATATAATCACCCATGTTTTCAGAATAAATCGTCAATAAACAATCAAACTGGACACAATCTAGTCATGGTTGGTCAAAGCTCGGCCACAGCTCAACCACCACGGCTATAACTCGGCCATAGCTCGACCAAGGAATTAAAGAACTTGTCCAAGGTCTTCAACAATGTTGAATATAGTGAAAACTATGTATGAGATTAATCTCTCTTGTGTTGAATATACACATATAGGATCCTTTATTTATAATAGAAGAAATATGGGTTAAGCACAAAATACAAATAAGAAATAATAAAAAATTAACTAAAGATAAAAGATAAATATAAAATAAAGATAATATATCAAACACTCCCTCTCAAGCTAATGCATACAAATTGTATGTATCAAGCTTGTTACTAATATAATTAAAGACTTAGCGAAAATATATTGCTTATGCACTCAAGTGACACCAAATTGCTAATGATTTGTGAAGACGACATAGAAAACGAAATACATATTAGAAGAACGAAATACATATTAGAAGAACCAGACTTTCGATACTATGTTGAAATTCAACCAATCATAAACTACCGTCGATTATATGTTTCCATGTTTTTCGATTATATGTTTCCATGTTTTTGCACACTTGTGAATAAATAGCACTACTACCTAAGTTATTTTTCATTTCAGAAAAGGATGTCAAAAATGAAATATGACGAAAATACAACATGAATGCCATGTCTTACTTTACGTTAATCAATATAACTATGTTAAGAAAAGTTACCACAACTCAATTTTAAGTTAAATCTGACTAAATTAAAAGCTTAAAAATATTAAACACTCATTTGATATTTTATATTTAATATTTAATATTTTATCCTTTTTATTTCTTTTTCTTTGTCAAATAACTCTAAATGTCAAAATTATTTTCCTTCTAAAATAATAATCATTAGGAATGTTAATACAATATAAAAAAAATGCAAACGATTACATAAAGCTCAAACCCAAATCCCAAACATGATACTAGTAACTTAGTGAAGGAATGACTTGTTCGAAATGCAAGAAGATGGGTATTAATCTGAGGTTTCCCGCTCAACGATCTTGACAGGAAAACCACCTTCCATCTGGGAGGTAAGGAAGGAAATGAAGTTGGGCTCCACCCCTTCAGCCACCGTAGGAACAACCGCGAACCGCCGAAGAATCCCAGCCACCACACTTTGCATCTGCATAAAAGCCATATCTTTCCCCAAACATATTCTGGGACCAGCTTGAAATACAGGATATGTGAAAGAATCTTTTGGCACAAACTTCCACTTTCCGGATTCAAGCTTCTCTAACCACCTCTCTGGCTTAAACTCTGCCCAATCCTCACCCCAAATACTCTCCAACCTCCCCATGGCGTACACGTGATAAGTCACCAGCGACCCCTTCTTCACCACCGTCCCATCCGGCAAAACGTCGTCCTCCACCGCTTCCTTGGTGTCCGTGGGCACCGGTGGGTACAGTCTCATGCTCTCGAACAATGATGCATGCGTGTAAACCATATGCTTCACTTCATCGTAAACCGCAGCCTCCGATTTGTCCAATATCTCATTCACAATCTCCTTCTCCACTCGAGGGTTCTTCGATAGCAGCCAGAAAAACCAGGTCAGCGCTGCTGACGTGGTATCCTTCCCCGCCAATATGAAGCTTATGACTATGTCCGTCACAAAGTCTTCATCAGAGTGCCCCGAACTCAAGAAACGCGAAAGCATGTCTACCGATTCAAGGGAGTCCTTCTCCTTCAACTCCCTCTTCTTCTCTCTTACTATGTTCTTCGCGAACTCGCGCACTTCCCTCACTGCCATTCGCAACCGCTTTTCCGAACCTATGTTAAGCGCCCTCTTCACTTTCCACTCTAACGGAAACAGTTCGCGGAACCGATTAATGATTATCTCTGTCGCTTCTTCGTACGCCACCGCGAACTTGCTCCGTTCAACCGATGGCGTCAGGTAGTTTGCGTCGAATCCAAAGGCGATTTTGCAGATGTTATCGAAGGCGAAGCGTTGGAGGATGTCTTGGAAATCGAGGGTCTGGTCTTGTTGTGCCGCTGAAGCCATGATGGGGATGAGGTGGTGGGAGAGTTTGGCATCCACCACTTGCTCCACAAACTTGCGGAGAGACTTTGTATTGAATTCGTGGCTTGCGAGTTGTTTTTGGAACTTCCATGTGTTGCCATCGGAGTTGAATATCCCCGTGCCGAGGAAGTCGGAGAGCGTACTAATGACGGTATTGCCCTTTTGGTAGTTGGAGAAGCGGGTCTTGAGAATGTGCTCGACGTTGGCAGGGTTGCCAGTGAAGACTTGGAGGTGACCCAGTGGGCGGTGGAAGGTGATGGTGTTGGCGTGTGAGATTTGGACTATATCAGATTCCCATTGAAGACTTCGGTTGCCGGTGCGTTTAAGGGCTAAGTAGGAGCCAATGAGTGGATATGATGGGATAGTAACGGTTTGTTTATTTGGAGCAGCCTGTTTGTTGTTGAAACGTGAGGAGTAGAAGAAGACGATGAGGGGAAGGAGGAGGGAAAGGAAGAGGAAGAGAGAAGCTATCAACTGAATATTCGTAAGAATTTCAATCATTTTCCTATGTGTTAGCAACCGAGGAATCGAAATTTGGTATATGTTGTTGGACATGTTGGTCATGAAGGAAAATTTGTGTATATATAGAGAATGATAACAGTCAAAGAGGAAGGCTTGGAGAAAAAGCATGGAACCTGTCCTCCCGGTGGATATTTCTTTCGTTTACTTTTTTAACAATTTATTTTTGACAATTTTTTAACAATACCGTGTATAAGCATGTATGAGTGTGTTATTGGTCCGTTTTAAATATACGGAAGTAAAAAAATTATTAAAATATGATTTTTTTTTAACATCAGAGTTATTAATTTGTTTGAATATTTTTTTAAAACAATAAAAAAAAAAGCTGACGTGGGGGAGTAAATTTGGGAGCAGAATAAGTTTTGGGGTTCTTAAATTTCTGAAACCCCAAGCATCTTGCATTCTGGAAACCTCTCCATTTCTCCACCACCGCCAACATCTCTCTTCATTCCTTCACCATTGTCCGAGTGTTTCACTGTTTCCATTCGTCCACCATTGTCGCTGCTGTGGTAGTCGATCTTTCGAAAGGCCCTCTTCTGCTTTGCGAAAATCCCTCTTTCCTCTTCTTTCCATGGGAGTATTACAAGCACTTCAAACATTATTGGGCTGCAAAAAAAAAAAAGTAATTAGTAAATAGAATTAAAATCGCAAATATACAAGTGAAGAATAAAAACCGCTGTACAAAATAAAATGCTCATATATGCATTATAAAAAATATTTATACTAATATTATCTTTTTTATCACAACAGATCCAATTCAATTTGTTCGTAAAACATGTAGTCATTATAATATTTAAAAATAATATTTTTCAATAATAAAAACTTACTGTCATAGATCGTGCTTCTCATTTACATATGATTTATCTTAGTGTCTCAATATATAATTTTTCTTGGTAGTTTTTCGGTTTTCAACTAAATAAAAAATGTTAATTAATATAGTATTAGACTTCTATAAACAACATATGCAATTATATTATACAGTGACATGACCATATAATTTAAATCATGCATCTATCCAGCAACATATATAACTCAATTTCTACAAGTATAAAAGTCTCAAATTAAAACTTTTTTAATGAAAACAAATAACAAAAGAAAGTTAGAGAATCATTACGCAGTAAACATTGACGGAAAAGGGGCGTGATTTGAAATTATTATAATTACTATGTTGTGCGCCTTCCTTTCTTTTCTATTGTTGCAACTTTCATCTTAATCACAAAAACCTACATGAGTACACTTTGGATACGCATTCTCATCCTCTGGTAACCGTTTTATTTACAAATAAAGAATTAGCTTTTAATTTGTGCTAATTAGCTCTTATATCAGCTAAAATAATATCACACTCCTTGATTACATTATGGTATATTAAATTACTGTTTTAATAAATCTTTTTTATTAACATAAAAACAAATTGTTAATGAGAAATAAATTCTGACCATGCTTGTAGATATAAGAAATATTTATTTTATGTAGAGAACAATGGTGGCAGTTAACCATTTTCTGGAAATAAGAAAGATCTATGTTAATATTATTACATTTATTGAAGTATACGTCAAACAAATTTTAATCAAACACGCCCTATTTGTTTACGTTAAGTATCCAAATTATTGATTTGTTCTAGAGAAAAAAAAATTCAAACTTTTTCAATACTCAAGTTATATTGCTTCGTATGCTATTCCTTCTATTAATTCTGCTGTGCTCAAGTAAAATCTCTGCAGCTTAATTAAGCTCCCAAGTAAAAACAATACCATCAATTTTTTTTTTAAATTTCATTTTGAATGGTATAATTTATAATATGTTTTACATTTATGAATACATCTTAAATGGTATAATTTGAAATACATTTTCAAAATACATAATTTAAATATGAAATTATGAATTATACAATCAAAAATATATTTTTGGATTATACAATTTAAAATACGTTTTCATAATTTTACATTATACAATTCAAAATTACATTTTCACATCTATAAATAAATTTTAAAAAAATAGAATTTGGTACGTATGTTTTCAAACTCTGCAATATAAAAATTTAATTCATGGGTAATTTAGATTTTCCAGCCCCTCGTAGAAGTTTGTGAAGAAACCACGGGGTGGGAGAAGAAAGAGCCCAAATTGCACATTTCAACAAAAACTTTCTTAATTCAGAAAGAGGCTCTTTACTTCATGCACCCCTGAATTTCTTTGCGCCTACCATTAAACTCATGAAAAGTCTTCTGAAATATTCATATATGAATTGTGTTTCAAAAAGGGTTTTCGAAAACTCATGAAACATGTTATGGAAAAAACTAGAAGAAGAAGAAAAAAAAAAGGTTTTCGAAAACTCATGAAACATGTTAAGAAGAAGAAGAATGTTAAGAAGAAAAAAAAAAGGTTTTTGTTGAATCATGTTATTTAATATATAAACTACTTTAGTAGATTATGTATTACAGTGTACTATTATTTAGCATGATTTATTTTTTAACATTTATGAGTTAGTAAAAATATTGTTTATAAGCATGTACAAGAAATATTGTAACAAAGAACGAATTTAGTTTTGTTGTTTTGCAAACTTTGGCAACCAATTTTTCGGTCACTAAAATATGAAAACAAATTTACAATTTAGCAATTAAAAAGTTTTAGTCGATAGTTGTTTTAAGAAATTGCAATTGAATGAATGACTGAAAAATATTTCATTTTAAAAACAAAAATTTATCATTTAGTGACTAAATAATTCGTCATTAATGTTTTGTTTTAACTCTTACTACCAAATTAGCAACTGAAATATGTAATACTTTTTTAATTGTTAAATTAGTATAGAGTGACCAAATAGTTAATTATTAAATAAAGACAGAAATGTCGATGGTTATTTATAAACAAAATTAAAAATCGGTCGTAAATATTTTGGTACAAGAATTTTTATTACCGTTAATTCGATCGTGAAATATATTAATGACCAATTTTTGATGTTTAGCAACCGAAAATATTATCATTAAAATGCAATTTTTTGCTGTTGTATAATTGTTTATATGCTTCCCAAATATTGACTGAGTATAATTAATGATCTTGTTTCACTCTTTTTAGTCTATTCAATAGAAAAATTTGATAAGATAAAGAACCAACCAAAAATAAATGTTTATATTTATCGATCTTTTAAGAATCATCTTCCTTTAAACGAGTATTATGAAACATACATTGTTTCCATTAGGCTAATTTTTTGATGAAAAAAATGTTCACCAAATAAATTATATCCTCTTTATGATTTTTCAATATTTTTGTTTCAAGACTTTTTCTGTTATGATAGTTTCACGCTGAAGAACTTTGTCCCAAATAAAGTGATTTCTATTTCACTTACAATTTTTCATTTTCCAATAGTTAGCTATTCTATTAGCGTTCAATTAACAAGTTTAAAACTCAGTACGTGCACATCTACTAGTACACAATACGTACACATCTACTAGTACACAATACGTACACATCTACTAGTACAAATACGTACACGTACATTATACAAATAAATATTTACTTTATGTAAGAAAACATAATAAATAAAATATTTTAAATATATAAATTACACTATTATCAAATTTAATAATAAAGTATAAATTATAATTTGGATTCATGATAAATAATTTATGTTATAATATAATGTTATTTTTAGTTATTGATAATTGTATCAAGAAATATTAAAATTCAGGTAAAGATATTGAACAGTTAAAAGATGATAATAGAAATCTTTAAAAACACTCTTGTTGAAAATAAACGTCCCATGAAAAATATCAACTATAATTCTCTTGTACAATACAATTATTTATATTCAAAATATATGTTTCGGTTATAAGGCTGAGTCACTAAACACCTTCACAATTTGTCTTTTCTCGCCGTCCGGTCCTGCTCCTTACGTTCCTGGTTCGCTAATCCGGTCGGTGTGTACCTGTTAAAGATACTCCGATGCCAAAGTCAGTGATTGAACCGTTCGGTTATCCAATATAACAGTAGTAATAATTAATGCACAGTAAATGCGTCTATCTATCTGTTACCTTTCACATACTTTTATAGTTTTCTGACGTGGGCCTAGGATTAACGATATTTTAATCTCGGCTCAATTCTAATATGGTAGGCTTAATTCGTGATTTGCCTTAATTTTCTTAATCATCATTCGTGTGAGCTTATGAGACCGACTGTCCATACCGGTCATATATCTTCTATGACCGGACGGCCATGTCGTGAGCAATGGATGACCACGGTACAATATACATTATCAAACTTGTATTGATATATAGTAATTGATTCTCTTTTTAGCAATTTTGTTATTTTAAGTTATTGTTTATTGATACACTAATAATATATTGTTACATTGCCTTAATATTTAATATTTTACATATATGTTATAATAGTGTTAGTATACAACGTATATAATCTTCAATAACTGTTTTTGGGATGCCATATTTTTATAGATGAATACAAATTTAAGAGGACTAAATAAATAAAATTAAAAAAATGTTTATATATTAATTTTTACTTGTGTAAAAAAAAATGAGAAGCAAAGTCCCTTAAAGAAGCTCTGCCACTGTTTAATGGTTAATTTTATTATGATGGGCATTTACCGAAGAAAAAAATATTAAAACATATAAAATATTTATATCATTTCTAACTTAAAAAGTAATGAGTTATTTTCTTTTTATAAGAAACTAAATTTTCTTATTTTTTTTAATGAGACTTAAATTTATATATAAACTTTGAACATATATTAAACAAAATGGTGTATAAATTTATTGTTATTTGTAGTGTACCTTCTTTTATCCTTAATATATAGTTTGAAAAATAGTCCTTTTTGTACTCCAAGTGGATGAAATGAAAGGAAAAACTAAAGACTTTCTAAGTTGAATGGTAGCATTGATGTGCTTAATTTTCGGTTATGGTAAACTGGTGGGTCAGACCGTGTTATATATAAATTGGGTGTTTTCCTAGGTTGCTTCCTTCTGTCTTGAATTCATTAT